CCTGGAAAACCCTGGCAGTTCAGTGAAAGGGGACTGTGGCAATCCATCCATTGGCATCTTCTTCTTCTGCAGCTACATCATCATCTCCTTTCTTATCGTGGTGAACATGTACATCGCCATCATCCTGGAGAACTTCAGTGTGGCCACAGAGGAGAGCAGTGAACCCCTCTGCGAAGATGATTTTGAAATGTTTTATGAAATCTGGGAGAAGTTTGACCCTGATGCCACCCAGTTCATTGCATACAGCGCCTTGTCTGACTTTGTAGACACCTTACAGGAGCCACTCAGAATTCCCAAGCCGAACAAGATCAAGCTAGTCACCATGGACCTACCTATGGTTGCTGGGGACAAAATCCACTGTCTGGATATCCTCTTTGCCCTAACTAAGGAAGTGCTGGGAGACTCAGGAGAGATGGATGCCTTGAAGGCCACCATGGAGGAGAAGTTCATGGCCGCAAACCCGTCAAAGGTTTCCTATGAGCCCATCACCACCACTCTGAAAAGGAAGCACGAGGAAGTCTGTGCTACGAAAATCCAGAGAGCTTTCCGGAGGTACCTCCTGAGGCGCTCGGTGAAGCAGGCGTCCTACATGTACAGGCACAGTAAGGACGAGGATGCCTTGACAGAGGATGCACCTGAGAAGGAAGGTCTGATCGCTACCAAAATGCACGAGATGTATGGGAACAGTGGGACAGACGTGGAGACAGCTCCTGCCTTTGGTCTGGAGCCCGTTCCCACCTCAGAAGCGCAAGATGCTCCCAAAGAAGCAAAAGCTTGGGATAAGGAACGCGTTGTGAAAGAGTCGCTGGTGTAACAGAAAGAGGCTTCCATCCCTCGCCCATTGTATCTCCTCCTCAAGAGCTCTTCCATATACAGATCACTAGATCTTAGATACTGAGCTGATTTCAATGATTCAAGTAGCCACCTTAACTCCTGGAGCAGGACCTTGCACTGCTCCTGGGCTTTCCAGCTCACTGCACTTACAAACAGTTTAATGTTTTTCTGATGAGAACAACATGTGAAATCTCTTGTTGGTGAAAGAGAAACATTTGAGTTTTGAAATGATCTCATCACGGTAACGATGTTTGTCAGACATGAACAAATGAGGATGGCTCTCCTTTTACTTAAAGTGATTATTTATTAATGTTATTTCACAATTAAGAGGTTTTCTTGTGTATTATTCTTCCAGAGTGCAGCCGAGTTGCCGGTGAAAGATGAGCCAAGTGAAATAATATTAAGAATAATTACAGAAAAGACAAGTTTTTGTGAACAGAAATCTCCAATGTCTTAAATTAGCACCTTTCTTTTGACTATTTGAATAAGCTTGATGGATTATTTCTTTTGTTATATACAGAGAAAGTGCAATTATGTCTTAAAAGATTTGTTTGCATAGCCAAAACAAAGCATCTGCAGGTATGTTCTCAGGGTTAACTATCAGTTTTTAAAGGTCTCTGAAATATGCATTGAAACCATAAATCATTCAGGTCTCTACGGTACAAATGTAAACAGTATTTATAGTCATGCTTCCTCTTCGTTTTTCCCTTTCGTCCAGGTTTTGTGGCAGGAAAGCCACAGACAAAGGTAGGGCTTGGAAAACCTCCACCAAGGATCCCCAGTACCTGTAACAAAACCTTCTGGGGTTTGTTCAAGCCCCAAAGCAAGAGGAAATGTCCCACTGGAGCGCTCTTGGCTAGTGTTAATTAACAAGATGCCTCCCCAGGGATTGGAGAAGGTGCTTGAATGGTCCTTAAATCCCACTGAGCACGGGGGCCTTAACACAATGAATGCTCCCACCAAAGTACTCGGGCTGAGCACACTTCATGTGGTTGGGGCTCTGGAGGGGACCTGGTGGCACGTGCTGGGCTCTCTGCAGGGGGGCCAGGCAGGTGCTCACCAGCAACCTCCCAGCAGAGGAGCATTTTCCCAAAGGGAAAGGGTTTTGCTGCTCTTCCATTCATTTCTGGACCTCCTTCTGCCTTCAAAAGGGGAAAAAAACCCTCTTGAGATCAAAATCAACATGAACCAAAACCTCTTCCAGTTAAAACAAGGGCTGCTTCTTAAAGCCAAAGGGTCTGTCTTTTTGTATCATTAGTAGAATGAGTTTTGCTCGGGCTGCTTTGGCGCTGACCCATTTTGGATGCCCCATGTTCAGGCTGCCCAGGAGCGGTGCTGAGTTTGCTTTGCATCCACGTGCTGTCGGCCGGGTGGCAGAGCCGGGGTTGCTCTGCTCATCCCATAGTGTTGTTCTTCCATTTCCATGTTGCATAGGGTGATGCTCCCTGGAATAGGAGCCTGAGCTGCTTTAAATGGTGTTGGCATGGGAAGCATCCATGGCACAGCGGTTTCCAGCCCGGATTGTGGTTCACGATCGATGCTGCTTGTACGTATATGTTGTCAGTGATGGGAAAAATGCCCAAGAGCAGGATTTGTGTGAGATAAAGCCTTTTTCTTTGTACATTTCTTAAAATAAACAACTGTAAATGGTCTATTATTACAATACAAACTACGTTGGTGTGTGTTAGAGGGGGAAAATGTCTTCCCTGACCCTGGGAAGGGTGAAAGTCCCCCTCCCTTTGCTCTAGGGCAGATACAAGGAGCCCCTGGGCATGGCATTGGCTGACATCCTCAGCAGGACCTGGTGGTCCCATCCTGCACGAGAAGACCCCGCTCCCCCCGCACCGACCCTGCCATCCTCAGCAGGACCTGGTGGTCCCATCCTGCACGAGAAGACCCCGCTCCCCCCGCACCTCCAACCCAGAGCAGACCCCAGAGCTGATTTAAGGTCAGGCTGGATAGGGCTTGGAGCAACCTGCTCTAGTGGAAGGTGTCCCTGTCTGTGGCACGGGGTTGGAACTGGGTGAGCTTTAATGTCCCTCCCAACCCAAACCAATCTGGGATTCTATGGACAAGTACCTCTCGGTGCCTCACAGCAAAGAGCCCTGACTCCAGGAGCTATAGGAGATGCTGCTTCAGGCTCAACCAAGGAGAGGGGTGGGCTGGGAGGAGGTGCAGACCCCCTGAGCAGCCCCATACCAGGCTCTGTGGGGCCAAACCTGCCCCACAGCCACGCAGGATCGGTTCATGGAGTGAAGGCAGTGGTGGGCAAAGGAGATGTCTGCGTCAATGTGTGGCTGGATCAGGAGGTGACCCAGGACGCGCTGACGTCCCCAGAGCCATGGCACAGCCTCTCCGCTGTGTTTTCACTCTCACTGGAACAGCTCGTCCCCAGAGTGGTGTCATTCAAGCGAGAGCATCATGGTCCTAGGGCTGGATGGAGGAGGTGGCACAGCTCACTGTCCCCGTCCTCTCACGGCGGGGGAAAGGACAGCAGTGAAACCCAAGCCCTGATGAATAGGAATGGGCCGGGGAAGGTTGCAGCTGCCTGGCAGCAGCTCTGTTCTGCCCAAAGGGCCAGGGTGGCCCTGAGGGAGGGCACGGGACCATCCCCATGAGACCTTCAAGGTCCCCTACATCCCAATGTCACTGGGTACTGCAAGCACAGGGGACTTCAAGGGGAGACTAAGACTCCTGGACCAGGTCTGTGTCTGAGGGCACCAAGGAGCCTGCAGGCTGTGCACTGGGGCAATTTCACTGTCACTGTCACTGCAAACCCTCTAGTTTGTGCCCTGCTCCTGGTTTGGCCTTGCAGGGCTGTCCCAGGCACCTCCAGCATTGCTGTCACAGCTCCCGTCTCCATCCCCAGGGTTTGATGAAAACCCTTCTCTGAGCACAGGGCATCCCTTGTTGCTTTTGCCTTGCAGGTTGTCGCAGGAGGACGTGCTTTCTCCAGAAAGACCTGGGCTGATGGCAGCAGAACCAATGCACAGCACCATGCACAGCACAGCCGCCTGCTCTGCCAGGAGGCACCTCTCCCATCATCTCTTTCTCCCTCCTGGGACCAGGTTTTCTCTAGAAACCTTTATTTCTTCTCGCTTCATGTCCCCTGCACACCAGGTGAGGCTCGGGCTGGTTCACAGCAGCTGCTGGCTGTTCAGAACTGGCAAAACCCCCACCAAAAGCACAGCAGATGAAGGTTTGGGGAGGCCCCAGGCAGAGACCTGGGCTCTGGGGACCAGCTTGGCTGGCACAAGTACCCAAGAATGTTTTTCACATGGAGTTACAGTTCAGTGCTCACCCGCAGCAGCCCGAGGGCATGGCATGGGAAAAAAACATGTTCCTGTGTCAGAGCAAAGGGGGACAGAGCTCACCTTGGGGTGTCATGCTGTGCTTCTCCAGGGGCTGCCCATCTCCAAAGGACTCTTGGACAAGGGTCTTGGTTGTGGCAAACAGGGTATGGAGAAGGAGCGGGCATGGCTGGCACCCAGGGAGGTGACACCTCGTTTTGGCCACCTCTCTCCTCTTCTAGTTTTCATCCTTCCCTGGAAGGGCAGCTGCAGGGATGCAGGGATGGAGGTGGGACACGGACCCCACTGATCCCCACAACGAGCACAAGCATTCCCTCTTCCCACCCCATTCATGCTCTAACCAGGCCAGGATCAACTCCTGCCTATCACTTGCAGCACTGAATGCCCCAGGGGGATCTACCCTTGCCATGGAGCTGGGGTGCAACTCTGGGGTCACCCCCATCCACTACTCCCCAGGGATGTGGCAGTGCCAATGGTCACATCCCGCTCCCTGGGCCCGTCCCCTGTGCTCAGCCCAGGTTTTGCATCACCAAGTGCTTTGGAGATGAGCTCATCTCCAGTTCCGGTGCAGACCCAGCCATCGTGGCCACCTCCATCAAATAATGCCACCATGGCAAGCACAGCCCGGGGACACAAGGCTGGATGGTGCCCAGGGCGCAGGCACCGGCTGCCCCAGTGTCTGTGTCACATTCAAAACCATCCCCAAGGGGAAAGTCCCCATCGAGGAGCATTTACATGCGCAGGAAAGGGGCTGTCTCATGTAGCAGCAGCTTTGCCATTTTTAGTGGGGCGGCTGCCGTGTTCCACAGGAACAAGAGCCAGGACTGGATGTGTCCCTGCTGTTGGCAGTGAGAGATGGCTGATTTCTGCAGCAGGCTCTGGGTGCTCCAGCTGAACCTCTGGATGATGGCTCTGGTCACAGGTGGGTGTTAAACACAGGGGTTCTGTTCCAGAGCAAGGAAACGTGCACTTGTCCCTTGCTCAGTGCAGCGAGGGGCTTCTCCCAGCTCTGCTTTCCATGCATTGAACTTTGCTATCGCTGCTCTCAGCGCTGCTGCAAAGCCACGCCAGGCAGCAGCGGGGACAAGGAGGACCCATGGGGGCTCATTGCCTCGGGTTCCGGGTTTTGCTTCCCGTTGGGTGCACAGATGGGACCCTTTGGGCAGCCCATAGGCTTTGATTGGAGCCTGGCTCAAGCTGTGGTTGCAGGTGGCAGGAAGGAGGAAGGGTTGTTGGGTGTGTTTTTACCATTCCTTGCTCTCAGAGGTCAGCACATCGCTGAGGCCACAGCCAAGCCCCATCCCTTTGCTTCATGGGGTTCAGTGCAAATGGGAGGAAAAAGGCTTTTTGGGCTGATCTGTGGGCCCTGTGTGAATATCCCTGTGCTGTTCCCCTTTGCATCCCCACGCACAGACTGGAATCACAGGCTGGCTCTCATGTTGGCTTTGAGGGAGGACAGTGGAAGCTCAGCCCATCCGTGGCTGCAATGGAAACCATAGAATCCCAGCCTGGTTTGGGTTGGAAGGGACCTGAAAGCTCCTCCAGTTCCAACCCCCTGCCACAGAGAGAGACACCTTCTGGGCTTTGAGGGGTGTGAGGGCTCTCAGGGTGAGGGATCAGCCTCGTCTTCAAACCAACATACCATGGAGAGCAAAGGCCTGTGTCCGGCTGGCAGCAGGACCATGGGTGGCAGGGATGTGTACCCAGCAGAGTCCAGACAAGATGCACCTCCCGTCTCAAAAGAAATGAAATGGGGCTGGAGGGGAGACTTTTTTGGTGCTGGAGGTGAACAGAGCAGCACGGACCTGGAAAAGTCTCTGGGGCAGGAGGTCCCTGTGGGCTGCTGTTTGGGGAAGAGAGGTCTGCAGCAGGGTGATAAGGCTGGGGGCAAAGGCGCTGAATCTTCCTTCTTCCTTCTTCTTTCTTCTTTTTCCTTTTTTTCTTGTTCTTTTTCTTCTTTTGCATCTTCCTTTTCTTCTTTCTCTTCTTCTTTTTCTTCTTTCTTCTTCTTCTTTCCTTTCTTCTTCTCCTTTCAGGAGGTGGTGCAGCCTCACCTCCCTGCCAGCCTCCTCACAGCAGGGTTTGGGCAACCTTGGTTGCACGGATGGAGCTGGGCACTGAAGCGCTGCAATAAACAGGGCTGGTGCTTCCTGCCCAGCTGCAGCAAGAGGAACCGAGGCACAGGGGCACTGGAGCTGTGACAGGGGTACCCATGGGTGCTGGGGGGTCCCTGCCTCGCCCAACTTCCTGCACTGCATCGCAGGTCCCACAGCTCCATCCAGACATGCCAGGGAGGCTGCATGGTCCCAGGGTGTGAGGACCCCTCCTGGCCATAACGGGGCTGCAAGGACAGGGAAGTCCCGGCAGGGAAAGTGTTTCTGGTTGATTAAGAAGATGGAGAGGGTAAATGAAGAGGCGTGAGTCTGTCTGAGAGGTGCCAGACTAGGGGATATTAATAGCAAAGGCAGGTTTCACTGGGATGTCAACCAGAAAGCAGCTTAGTTACAGAAGATTCAGGAGGTGGGATGGAAACAGAAGGGTTTGTACCCAATTCTGCACTGCCCCATGTCCTGAGTTGATGTTCCCATGCACTCCATGCCATACGGAGCAGTCATGAAGGACCCACTGTACATGCCATCCCATGCGGGACATCTACACTGGCTTGTCCTATGTGGGCTCTTGGCTGCTATCTCAGGGCCCGTCTCCTGTCTTGCAGGTGGGATCTCAGCAGCCAACAGCACCTGGAACAGCACAGGTAACCTCTGGGCTCTATCCATACACATCCTTCCCATCCCCACTACCTATGCCACAAGGGTATGGGAGATGTCCCAACACCCACTGGCCTTCTCCATCGCAAAGGCAATCCCCAGGCCGCGAGCTCCTCGGTGGCATTCCCCCAGCCCTGCTCTTTGCTCTCCCTCTGCCAAGCCACATCTGCTTTGTCTTCCCTAAGCACAAACATGTTTCTTCTCTGCGCTTGCAGAGCACGTCGCATGAACAAGCTGTGCCTTGGGAGCAGGCACTGGTGTCAGCACACGGTGTTTGTGTCATTCCCACCCACGGGGTATTAAGCATGAACTCTGCAACCGAAAACACAGGCTAAAAATACGAAACACAGCAAAATCACAAGTGTGGGCCCGGGAGAGAAGCCAAGTGGGGAGATGGGTCTGTTGTAGCAAAGGCTCTGTGGTGTGTGCCTGCACAGGCTGTGATTTTGGAGCTGGGGCTAACTGGAGGTACATAGAGAGGGGTGGGAGAAGCAAAAAAGGATTCAGTGAGGCCATTCCCACAGAAAATTGAGTTTCTGTTAAACCAAAAGTCTCTGGTTTCTACCTCCAGATGATCCCAAGTCACCAAAACCAAGCTGACTGCTCCAAAGCAGCATAATCCATAGAAATGAGAAGCTGTTGATTTGGGAGATGCTGGGATGGGGTGTCCTGTGGGAGCAAGATGCCCCGCTGGGGCAGGGTCCCTGCTCCCCATGACCACCCTTGTCCCCTGGCAGACAGTGAGTGCATCACAGTGAAGCAGTACCCGCGCTATGTGGGGGCCAAGAAGAACACTCCCATCCAGTTCATCTGCTACTTCGAGGACCCCCACAGCATCCAGTGGTACAAACTGGTGGAGGGCAGCGATGAATTCTACGAGCTGGGTAACAGCAGCTCCCGCTACAGCGTCCAGACCACAAACAAATTCACCAGCTTCACCATCTCCAGCATCACCTACGAGGACAATGGCATCTACGTGTGTGACAGGAAGAACCTCACGGCGGAGCAGCAGCGGCCGCACGACTGCGGGACACAGCTCAAAGTCCTGAGTGAGTGGGAGCTCCCCATCCTCTCTGCACCTCAAGAGATGCTCCTCCCTCTCTCACTCTTTCCCCCTCCATGTGAACCCCACACCATGCTCCTGTGCACCCACATCTCCCTATGCTGGTGGGACCCCTTCAGGTACAACTGTCGATGCTCTATGGCACCACAGGGGTTTCTTTGCTCACTGCCAACCACCAAGGGGCAGGAGAACCTCCACCAGTTTGCCCTGGCACATCCATCCTGCAGAAAACCATCCCAGGGGCTGCGTTCCCCTAATAAAGCAGGCTTGCCCTGGTCCTGGCTAGAGGTGGGTACTGCCCAAGGTGTCTCATCCCAGAGCTGGTCCCTGATGGCAGTTTGCAGTGGTCTGGTCTCTCCCAATGCAGAGAGCTTCTCACCCTTGTCCCCCCCCCATCTGCTCTTGCTGGCACTTGGAGGTGGATCTTGGAGCTACCCCTGTGCTGTTGCTCCCAGGTCACAGTAACATCCAGCAGGTGCAGAACAGGAACACCCTGAAAGATGCCATCATCATCATCCAGTCCATCCTGCTTGTCATCTTCATCAGCGTCCCCATACTCCTCTTCCTCAATAAAGTAAGTGACAACATCTCCAGCAGTGGGGATGTCCCCACAGTGCTCATAGCTGTGTCCTGCATCCCAGGCAGGACACTGCTATGGACAGGGATGAGCAGGGCTGGGTTTGGGGTGCTCCATGGGAGCGTGGCTACCTCGAGTGGGAAAATAAGCATCTAAACCAGAGTATGGGACTGTGTGGATTTGCCTGTGGAAGTGGGGGGATGAGGCTGGGGACAGAGGAAGGGCGATCCTGGTGGGTGCTGACATCCAACCTGCGACTCTCCACAGGGTGAAGGCAAGGAAAGTCTGGAGGAGGACCACACCTATGAGGTAATGCTGCATTCATTAGAGAAGTACCTCTGGAATATCAGCCTGAGCCTTGAGAGAGCCTCGTGCCTTTGCTGGTGTCTGACAGGCACCACCAGCCCTCACAGGGCACATCAGGACATCTTCCTCCCCAGCGCCTGTTGCACATCAGCTGTAAAGAGCTGCTCACAAAACCAAGCCAAGCTCTGAGCACATCCAGCCATCCACCTCCATCCCCTCTCAGAAGCTGCCCTAGTGTCTGGGGGAACACCCTGGACATGGGTCCCTGCTTGGGGGTCCCAAGGGGTTCACAAACCATTGTGGATGAGGGCCTCAGTGACAGGGGTTAGTCGTGGCCTTGGCAATGCTGGGGAACGGTCAGACTGGATGATCTTAAAGGTCATTTTCAAGCTGGTTGATTCCATGATTCTTTGTGCTGTGGGTGAAACCATGGTCCCCCTCCCATGTCTCAACCTCTTTCTTGCTGCAGGGTCTGGAAGTGGAGCAGATGGCCACTTACGAGGACATCACTCCTTTCCGGGACGTGAAGGCCAAATGGACAGTTGGGGAGCACCCAGGAGAAGAATGAGGGGTCCTGCACCCACTGCCAGCATCCACAGGGACCCACCACAGCTCTGATGGGTGCCTGGATCCCAGGCTGTGATCCCGGGTTACAAACCACCTCCAGTATCCCTGCACAGAGCCCAGGTCCTGCTAAACCCCTAAAGCCTATGTAGAAATTAGGAGCAACCTGCAAACCCCCCAGTACCAAACTGGCCCCGAACCCCTGGCAGACCCACACCACAGCACTGAGCTCCTGCATGGGTAATACCACGCAAGTACCATGGTGGGTGGTGGGTCTGCTCCAGCCCCACTATCCCTGGGATGGTGGTGAGGACCAGGAATGGTCACTCTGTGTGCTGCAAGGACCCTCCTGCCCTGCAAGACCCCACTGCAGCCGTGGCAGAGGAGTCAAAGTGAGCAGCACCATGTGGGTGATAGGAGAAGAGGATTTTGGGCCACTACTAGCTTTTCAGCCATGGATGTGTCCAGCAGCTCTCTGAGGTGGAGGATCCTCCAAAACTGCCTCATTTTCCCCAAAGACTACAGGAAAAGGTGGGGTGACAGCTCTCACCCAGTGGGTCTTTCTCCTCTCCAGCCAAGAGCTGGCCCATGTCATGAGGATGTCCCCATGCTGAGGGACACATGTGACCTCAGAAGCTATGGGAAAGATGTAAATTGTGGGACACAACTGTCCAACTGCTTTTGGAAGTCCTAATAAAGGTAATGGGTAAATTCACATCCTGCTCCATCCTGCCATGCCCAGTCCGCGGGTGTTCCACAACCCTGGTGCCAGTGTTAGTGCCCTGGGAATAAGGAGCAGCTTCTCATGGGTCCAGCTCAGCTAGAACCCAAACCTCACCCCATGAGGGCCCTGAGCACAGGCCGGGAGGTAGAGCCAAGAGCAGCCATAGACTTCTCCACACCTCCACTCCAGGATGGAAAGTTGTTTTACTTGTTCAAATGCTGCTGGTGATGCTCAGGGTAAGGCAGACATGGGACCACCCTGAAGAGAATTGAGGGTTTTTTTCTCTTCCAAGGAAGGACAGGAACTTGGAATGTCCCAGAGTGTCCCACTGCTTTATGAGATGCTGCTTTGGGTCACAAATGCAGGCATTTGAAACACTAAAACATGCCAAGCCGATATTTGAGGGCTGCTGATGCAACTGTAGTTCTGCCAGTGGCCTGTGTGTGCCCAGGCCAGCACTTCCCAGTGGCACTGCCTTCTCCACAGCACTTCTGCCTCATTTGATGCCTAGAGGTGACCAGGAACAAGCCAAGCCTCAGGGGCACTGCACAGGCTGGATCATGCTGGTATACCCATGCTTGGCTGCAACCCTGCCCGTGGCAGGAGGTTGGAACAGGAGGAGCTTTAAGGTCCCTTCCAACCCAAACCAGGCTGGGATTCTATGATTTAGCACCATGCTTTTACTGAGAGAGCAGCAGGGCAGCAAGTGATGGGCAGGACTCGGGTCTCTGGTGCTGCACCAATGCAGCTGCAGTGATAGAGCATCATTAAGAGGCAGCAGAAGCTGTGCTGGGCTGGGGTACCTGCTGCCCTGCTCACCTCTGACAAATATTGACATATTTAAACACAATCTGGAGTAGAAAAACACCCCCAGATGTTGCTGGCTATTGGGTGACGGGATACCTGATAGCTGCAGGACCCACTGTTCCCTTTGCTCTAGGGACTGACATTTACTCTGCGACAGCACCACGTCTTCAGCAAGCAAACACCCGGGGGCTTCTTGGAACAGACCACGCACTCCTGAGCATGTTTATTAACCAGCTCTTGCACCCTCTGCTCCAGCAGCCCCAGTGATGATGTTGCCTCCGGGAAACCAGAGCCATGCCACGGGGGCACAGCAAATCCAGGGCCTGGGGGAGCCACGTCACCACCGTGACCAGGGAACCATCCCCGAACCCAGGACAAAGGGCTGAAACTGTGTGGTTTGAGGCAATTGGTGCCTCATGGCAAGTAAAAGTCCTTTAAGCCTCCCCTGGAGTTGCCCATCCCAGGTTCTGTCTCGGTTTGCTCAAAAGCAGGGATAGGTGTGCTGTGATATGTCCCTGTCCCCATCTCCCCTTCCCCATTTCCTCTTCTCCCTCTCCTCCTGCCCATCTCCTCTTCCTCAGCTCCTTTTCCCCGTGTCTCCACCTCCTTTCCACACCAGGCCCCTGTTTAATCCGGAGATATATCATGTTTGCATCTCAGACAAGAGCAGGAAGATGCTCATAACGAGATCTTCTCCTTGCTTTGTCCAGCTGAGGATGAGAAACCTCCCAGAGCTCTGGCAGCTGGATTTGCAGCAGGCAGGCTGGTACCTGAACAAGCCCCTGGCTATGACAGCAATTTATCACCCCTATGGCAAACCAGGTCACCAAAACTATTTGCTGAAGTTTTACAATTTTGCTAGAAATTGAAAGAAACGACTTGGCAGAAATAGGACTCACCTGGTAACATCCATCCTGCTCACAATAAAGGGGAAATTATCCCACTTGCTTCAAGTCAGATCTCCCAAACTGGCCCATCAGCCCTGCCAAGGCTGCAGATGCAGGCAGGGAAATCAGATGGGCACAGCAAGTTCCCCCATGTAAAAGCACAGATCTGATTTTGGGATGGGTCTTCCTACGATGAAGAAACTTTTATTTGTGATAAACAGCAGAATATGGCAAAATCATCCGCAGGCAAACAACCTCCCCAACCTTTCCATCTATGTATAAATGACTGTGATTAGGGAGCACCATTGCAAGCACTTGTGCATTTATGCACAGAGAAGATACAGAGATGTTGTTGTGATCATGACACATATATACATTTTAAACAGACCCCCTGCTATATAAGGGATGGCTCAACAGTCGCCTTTCCCAGCCTAGATGAAAGGAGGAAACCTTCACTGTCAAGCAACACCTGAGCAACTCGCTGGGCAGAAATGGCTCCAGGTACTTTCCTTTATTTCAGTTTTAAAGGGAGACCTTAGAGCAGCTTCTAGGACCTACAGGGGCTACAAGAAACCTGGAGAGGGGGTTTGGACAAGGGCCTGTAGGGACAGGCCAAGGGGAATGGCTTTAACCTGCCAGAAGGGAGATTGAGATGAGCTCTGAGGCAGAAGCTCTTCCCTGGGAGGGTGGTGAGGCGCTGGCACAGGGTGCCCAGAGAAGCTGTGGCTGCCCCATCCCTGGCAGTGTTCAAGGCCAGGTTGGACACAGGGGCTTGGAGCAACCTGCTCTAGTGGAAGGTGACCCTGCCCATGGCAGGTGTTGGCGCTGGAGGAGCTTTAAGGTCCCTTCCAACACAAACCAGTCTGGGATTCTATGATTGCCAGTGCTGCTGCATGCTCAGGACGAGGGGAGGTGGTGATGATGGTACTGTGGTGGGCTGTACACACTCAGTGCCAGCTTTAAATGAAAATGTGGCAACTCATAAATCAATGAAAAAGGGTACTTTTCCCTA